AGCGATGAATCTTTCACATTCTTCATGAATTATCACTGCATTATTCACCAAGAAGCATTATGTGCTTAAATATTATCCTTTGAGCATGTCATGAATTTAGTTATAAAAATAATCAAAAAAAATTCGAACAAATCCTTTGTCACACGGAATCTATAAACCATTTGCAGAAGAGGACAATTTTTCAAAATCTGACCTTATTTTACACACAGACATAAGATGGTTAAGTCGAGGTCAAGCTTTCACCTGATTTTTATGAACATCTAAAAGTGATAAAAAGTATTTCGTTTCAAAAGGTGAATGTTTCGAACAATCGGATGACCTTCTCTGGTTGATGGACTTGGTATTTTTAACTGATAATTGCGAAAAACTGAATATTCTAAGACTTCATTCAGGGAAAAATTAAAGATATAGTGGAAGTGGTTTTTGCAATTACAAGTTTAAAATCAAAATTACAATTCTGGAAAGAAAATTTATCAAAAAGGTCTCTCGATCATTTTCTACAAACGAAAAAGGTGATCGATGAAAATTCATTTGACCCATATTTATTTATTTATTGGTCACCTTCAGAAGCTTTTGGAACAATTCGAAAATAGATTCCAACAATTTTCGATTATTGAGTCAGTGACTTCATTTTTTATAAACCCATTCAATCCTCAAATTAATATTTCTGCAGTTGCGCATTCCACGGAGAAAATTATTCATAAAGAAGCATCTTCAATTGAAGATGAAATTTTAAATATTTAGACTGATATTGTATTAAAATCGTGTGGGCTTAATGAAAATACTTGAAATCTAAGCCGAAGATAAAAAATATGCCCTTTTGAAAAAAGGAGGTTACAAATTAATAAAATCCTGTTTCGGTTACTCATATTTATGTGAATTGTTGTTTTCAACAATGAACACAAATCACAATCAGATCTCGACTTAATGATAGCAATCTCGAAGATGCTATAAGATTGGAAATATTTTATTATATGCCTGACTTTGAAAAATTAGTAGATAACATACAATGCCAAAAATCACATTAAATGTAACTATTTTTGAATTTTTTACCTTTTTAGTGTAGGATATTGTTTATGATTGTAATAAAACAAAGAAATATTAAGAATTATTATACATTTTTTGAACTGCACCTGCCAGCAATTTCCTCTTTATCAGATGTGCCCAGATGGGTAATGAGGTTAAGAACCCCTGTATTAGCACATAAGAAATTTCTGTCAAGTGTTTTGAATATGCAGTGCTTTAATAATACAGGAAACTGGGAACCCTGTTTAGAGGAACTGAAACTAATTTTTTTTAAAAAGTTTTTTTTGGGGGAAGGGGGTAATTAAAAATTTGTACGTGCAATCTGCTTCAGCATGTTTTATTTAATCAGATTATAATCATGTTACAATGAATGTTGCTTCAGTCTGATAATGAAAAACTTTTAACTCTCATAAATGGTGGAATAAATGCTTATGACTGACTTTATATTTGACTTCCAATGGCAGCAATCTGCTAGATAAAACTGAAAAATATTACATAAAAGTTAAAAAACGTAAACCAACTTCAAGTACAAATTACAATTACTGATACATGCAGCATTTTAATATTTTGTACTCCCTCCAAAGAAACCTTTTTAAGCAAGGTTACATATCTTATGATGTACATATGTCTAACAGAAAAATAAAAACATTTCCCCAACTTTTAGGACTACATTAATTTAGTTCATAAAACCTTCATAGAAGTAACAGGAAAAACAGATCTAGTGCTATGCAGATGTATATACTACTGCAAGTAACTTCATTTACTACTATTTAAAATATTAAAAATGCCTTCTTTATTTGTTGATTACTTAAACTTTACTACACTTAAACGTGGAAATGTCACAATTTCTCAAAGAACAAAAATATTCACACATTTGACTAATGTTTTTATCAGATAATGATCACTTTTCAGAACTGTTTTACAAGTCATTTGCTTTCTCTACAGAGTTGCTTCTTAAGGTATCAAACAGTATTGCTTATGACATTATGGTCATCAATATATACAGTTTCAAATGACCACATCTAGAAGCTTATTTACATGACCATGTTGAAACACTAGAGATTTTAATACAAATTGTTAGTTTGTTTCACATGTTAAATAAAAGCAATCAGTGTAAAATGAATGCTGTACAGCTAAGGCACTACATTGCATATGTTTGTGCAAAGTGATTTTTTACATTCAAATTAAGGCTAGATACACTTACTTTAAAATATACTGGTTTAATAATCTAAACGAGAATTAACAACTTAATATACAGTTCAAAATGGACAAAAATTGGTTAAAAATTATTTCCTTGCCTAAATTAACTAAAAATTCATTTCATGATCTAAGCCACGATTAACTCATTAAGGAATGAAATTACATAATGTACTTTTAAAAAATGAATACAGTATAAAATCCAAGATTTGGACTCATTCGGACTTTCCGTATATAGTAGAAGTCCAGAAACCCACAAAGCCTGGAACCAGAGGTTGTGCGAATTTTAGGATTTCAGGACAGAAAAGATAAATCATAATATTCAGATTAAAAGGGTAAGATACATTAAATTATTATATACATTATTGCAATAACTTATTATAGGCATTGAATTATTATTACATATATAAATTTATTATATTATTCACTTTGTTATATATACACAGCATCGAGCTTTGTCTCGAGCAAAGATTTCCGCTATCGGATTCCAGTGTTAGAATCCCTGTTGCTGTAAAATTTCAACAGCTTTTCTTTATTTTTCCGTATATCATACACAATTGTGTCGCAATTCCATATGATTCTACTATAAACCGAGGAGTAGCACCTGCTTCCATCTTTTGCAGAAAAATTGCACTTTTTGCATTACCTTCAATGCAACGTGTTTACATTTTTCAACATCGCAAGCAGTAAAATCATGAGAGCGTTTCTTATATTTAATTGTATTAAAAAGGGCTGAAATTAAAAATATTCTTAATTTATCCACAAAGTATCCAGATTAAAAAACAAGGCAGGACCAAATAATCTCGTGAAATAACAAAGCTCAGAAAATACAACAATGCGAATTGTAAACTTGAAAAAAAAGAGTTGAGTGAATCGTCTGCTTTTTTACTTCAATGCAGATTAGAAGGAAAAAAACTTTTATCATGATGTCAATAATTTGGTATTTCCATTATGACCCATTATATTTCGGTAAGTATTTTTTTCTTCGATATTTCGTACTCAATGTTGCGGTTCCCAGAACCTATCAACTGAATGTTTATATTTTGAGAGGCAATGCGGATTTCAGGAGTTGGTGGATTTTCGATATTTCACTGTATTAGATTTCCATATGTTAGAACACACTTTAAATCTAGTAAGAGGAGATGCAGAAATAAAAGCATGAATAGTGATTTATGAAATATGAGACATTTATGACCTTAAGGGAATCAAAAATTTACTTAAAAAAAATTTTGCTTTATTAAACACACATTTCTATCAACGTCAATTTGTTTCATTTTTTTATGCAAATACATTCTCTTTAATTCTGGTGCTAGATAACTTCTTGTTTAGTTACAAAGTTTCATTGTTCAAGTCCTGTAACTGCTGCATCAAAGAATCCCACTAAATAGTCAAGAGAAATTTTCTTCATTTTCAACAACTTCTCTATCACTTTAATTACCAGTACTGACATTTTCTGGATTTAGAATTATATTATAGATTTTGCCATAAACCAGTTGATTGATGTTTGCTTGGTGTTTTGGCATTGCAACGAAAAACTTGTGTTATATCCTCACTTATAAGGCGTTTTCCACATTTCTTCACAAATTCCATTACTTGGAAAATTTTCCTTTTTCATTACAATATCTGAAAACCTTCAAATTTGCCATTATCATCATAAAACTTACCTAGCATCTGCTATCTATTATTGGTATGTATTGCACAATTGGCAATTAAGACATGTTGCTCACCTAAATTTTGTCTTGCTCCTATCACACACTGATGAAATTAAGTCTGAATTATGTTTTACACTTTTGACCATTTCCTGCAGTTTTGGTTTGGTTTAAAGACATGTTGTTCCACTAAATTTTGTTTCTACTGCCCACTGATGAAGTTTAGTGTGAATTATATTAATTTAGATATTTATTATACTTACAACTGTTTCCAACACATGCTTATCTCAGTGCTGAATAAATTAATTCTCATATATACTTAAGGTTTAGCCATAGCCAATGCAAAACATTTGACAATCCACTGCAGTCTCTGAATGTCTGAAATTCTGCTGCCAAATGCCACCCAAAATTCTAGAATTTTTATATCCCAGTGCCTTGCTTGAATCCTAAAAGTTTCACCCCCTTAATTTTGTTGCTCAGTGCTTTTCGAAAATAAAAAAGAAAATTCTCCGGCACTAGTCTTGACTTAACAGATTTACAAATCAATTATTCTCACTTCTAATAGCACTAAATGTAATATTTTGACCTATTAATATCATTTACAAAAACCTATTTTTTGTATATAAAGAGATTTCTTAAATTTCTCCTCGTACACACACACACCACTCTTCACAATGCAGTTTGCTGAAGTATGCAATCATCACCAAGTGCAATGTCTATATTTTATTATACAAAAATATTAATGCATAAGCATAAAGCATAAAATTCTTTAAAAAAAGGTTGCTGGTGATGCGGATTTTAGTTCATTTTGGATGCTGGACATCCGGATTTGACTTCTAACTGTAAAATGAAAAGCAATTCAGCATTCACTTTCCTCATGCTGCCATTCAATTTTAGAAAGAAGCAGGGGGAAAAAGCAATACCTGAGAACAGAACTCATAAAATTGATTACAGACTGCTGATTTAAACAATACAAAAGATCCAGTTAATTTGTTGAAAAACAACACATTTAAATTTATGAAATAACCATATGTAATACTAATATGTATAAAATGAATTTGTATCACATGTATATAAAAAATTTACAGCGACTTTCTTAGTCGAGTAAAATGTTCACAACCATGAAAATAAGTCCTTGCAGATTTTTTTTATTCACCATTAATTATGCATTCATCATTATTTACAAATGCCTGTTTGCAGATCATATGACCACCATCAAATGTACAAAGTTGAAATTATGAAAGTGTTTATAAATTACAATAAATTTGATTTTATAAAATCATACCCAGCATATTTACACCAACTTCCTGGGAAGTATTTGGTACAATATTTTGTAAACAATATTTACAAAGACATTTTTTAGAAGACCACAGGCAGGACTTTTATTTTAAACATTTCTCGGAAAATGGCATTCCATCATCATCAAGAGCCAGAGCTGCATAACAGTATTTCAATGATTTTTGCATTAAGTTTTGAACTACATTTAAATAATGGGTTTTAAAACAATATATTATTTTAATGAATTATCATTTAATAGCTATGCATGTAACACAGTCATTCCAGAAGTAGCTTTAGAATTTAAAGAAATGGCAGTAGTTTCAGAACCCAAATCTGACAATTACTACAGCCAATTGTCAACAGTCCTTTATATAATGCTACACAATATAAATGATTGTTGAAATAGATGAAGGAAAATATTAATTAGAATTCCAGATGCCAATGAAAATTACTCTTTTCTTGGTCTGCACCAAGAAATAGCCGAGATTTAAGGAGCTGGATGGTTAATTTGAAAAACTGCTTACACCAGTCATCTGTGCCAAACAAATGTGCTAACATAAAATTAAGAAAATCTAATAGAAATTGAAAGAAGCAGGCTACATACACTGCATAAGAAAAACGAGGGAATTTCCCATCCAGGTGCAATTAGCTCATTAAACAGCATAAGAATATAAAAGACAATCTTTCAGTTTCATTTCCACCATGGAATAAAGTGAGAAAAGAAGTAAGTGATCTAGAAAAAGAGGTGACCAGAAAATGGAATCGACTATATTGATCAGATTGTTTACAAGCATTTAAAGGACAGCATTTATGGTTAAAATATAAAAGATTTCAAACAAAAGATTAGCTGGACTAATACAAATCCCTATGCCTCACTTAAGATTTGGAATCCTTCTTAAAGAACTTTTTGGACTACTTTCAGACAGTAATGATAAAAAGAATTTTCAGAACCAATGATGTCATTAAATGGATAGAAACACTTTCATTACCCAACGACAGACAGTACTAATAAATAAGATATTACCTTAGTTGAAGTATTATTAAAATATAGAATTCCTTGCAGAATTATTAGTGGTGATGGAACTCAAATTTGTTTGAGCTGTAACACAACTTAGTTACTTTTTAAACAGTTTCTGAAAATTATCAGCCAGTTTGCCTTTAAACACTTGCTTTAGATGCAAATCTGCTGTTCAGCTGGTTGCTTTCCTCAATTTTGATAAAGAACATCAAACTCAAATGCCATCACAAATGATATGCATAATGAAACTGAAAATAAGTTTGCTGTTGAAATGCTGCTTTATTTGAAAAATGAAAAAATACAAGCAAAAGAGGTTGCACAGTAACACTAGAGATCAGATCCTCATCTGAACCAAAAATTCTGTTTTTGTAATGGTACATCAAGTTCATAAGGCACAATACGTGTTAAAATTCATTTATTTTTCAGATTTTTACATGAAATAACTAATATAGAAAGTTATTAGGTTTTAACTAGGGTTTATCCAAAGCTTATTCTCAAAACCAAACAAGTTTCACCTAACTATTCCTTCTAAAAATGTGGTGTTTAACAGGGTGCACCTTCCAAAAGTCCTTATCAAGATGAAGCTTTGGGAGGTTTCTTACTGGGATGAACAACTGCAATCAGATGGGAAGCCTACAATGATACATTTCAACTTTGCATCAAAAATATTTCAGTGTATGTGATCTCGCATAAGAGTGGTGCCACTGCTAAGATTTTTTGCAAGTTAGTGGACCAAAGGTAACCAGCTAATAATTCCTGTTTATGCAGACAGCTGATGCAGAATATGAATATTAATTGTATTTCATAATAGTTCTGTAATAAATATTAAAAATATGTTGTATGCCTTTTTTACAGAAGAGAAACCTCTCACATATGTGAATTATCAACTTTTAAGTTCACTTATTTTCAGTAAACGCACATTAATTTAGTCAAAAGCAGTTGCAAAATTATTAATTGTAAATCATTAACATAGCCCTGGCTGTGGTCTCATGCAGTCATTATCAGCTTTCACTGAATCTGGTAAACAAATATTTTAAAAGTACAGTGAGTGGTCATGTAAACTCACATGTAAATCACATTTTTTTTTTTTTTTTCATACAGGGCGATTTAGAATTCATCAATATTTGGTGCAGAGGTAGGGAATAGGAAAAGAAGATTTTACATAGGAATGCATGAGTGCATGTGTTATGTAGTAGGGCAAAATGACCCCAGTTCAATTATGGAAAGAACATATAAAAAGGAAATAGTAAAGGAAAAAACATTATCTTACATGTAACATTTCTTTGCATCGGTTTTACAGACTTACAAGAGGTGCTTGAACTGCTGACCATGTGCTTGAATGCATGACTCACCATGGCATTGCATGGACAACTGGACCTTCTGGAATATGCCTGGCATTTATATGCATATCTGCAAGTTAATTCCATGTATACCGGTTCATGTTACTTCTGCACAGTCACCTAGTCGAATGACGACTGGCTGCACATGTCGAACAGCTGTGCTTATGTATGGAAGTTGTGAACACACAGTGCTCTCTACACCACCATGCGTTACTCTGCACCCATACTTTCCTATGTGAAATCTCCTTCCTTTCCTATTCCCTACCTCCACACCAAATACTGATGATAAATTCTGAGTCACCCTGTATATGTAACATTATAACAAATGATTAATGAATTTAACTACAAAAGAGGCCATAACTGATATTAACATTTAATATTTGTGTCTTCTTTTAAAAAATCCTAGGGTAATTCATATTTAATATTTGCTTTTGTTCCGTGAATGACCATGATTATGTTTTTTGTCATGGCTGTGGCTATGAGATACATCTCTTTTTCGTTCATGAGAATGTTTTTTGTCTTTAGAAAATTTTTCAGAATCTGAATCGTGAGGATGTTTTCTTTCCTTAGAAAGCTTTTCATAATTTAAATCACTGTCTTTGCGATGGGAGCTATGATCTCTATGCCTAAAATGCTCAGAAACTCTGTCCGTTTCCCGATGCTTCGACCAGTGTTTTCTTGTTTCATCTTCTCTGTTAGTTTTTGAATCCAATGGACTTCTACTTCGAGTTCTAAATGAAATTAAAAAAGAATAAAACCAATTATTAACAAAGTTATACTTTATTATATGCATTACTTTATGTTTTTAAAACACTACAAACTAAACAATTTGAGGATTCTTAATGTATTAAAAAAATTCTGCTCGCATGCTTTTATAAAACAATCACAGACAGGAGAATTTTACATCATACAGACATATACACATCTCTGAAACTGCATAATTAGTAGTACATTTGGTTCAATACTTTTCATTAAAATAATTCATAATTTGTAGATTCTCTTAATTTTGCACACGTGTATTATGACCTAAAGTAGCAATTTAAAAAATAATGATCCAAAAGGTGGAGTCCCTCAATATTAATAAAATACATAACATAGTTCATGCTTTTAAGCATTATGTATGAAATATTTAAGACCACAGTGAAACAGAAAAATGAGACTTCAGCATAAAATGAAGATGATGGGGAAAATACAAATTTCTTAAAGGCAGAAGCAAGAATAAGCCTCTCCCTTTAAAAACTTTATTTGAGCATTTCTGGATAACCACCTTCCAACTTAAAGTAGTCTGCTATTTGAGATTGTGCTTTTATAACACAACATAAAGAAGGATCAACAAATCAGCTGTTACTCTACCTTCATATTTCTAAGTATGGCTGAGGCTTTAATTTTTCCACTATAAATGTACATTTTTTCAAATGCACTATTATGTTACATAGATCTAATGATTTCAGAACACCAATGAAAAAATAATTTACCTATGGCTAGAATGGTTTTTATGTCGCTCAGATGAATGATGATGCTTAGATGATTTCCCATGTTTGTCTCGATCTCGTCTTTGTCGCTCTTTTTCTCTTGCAATTTCTTCAGCTACATCTATTTCAAATCCAGATTCTTTTATGTTTTCAGCAGAATCTCTGATTTTTGATTCTGAATGCACAGAGCTGGAAGAAAAAAATTCAGTTACAAGTTACAGCATAAAGAAAAGGCTTTTATACTTGATATGCCTATTAAAAATCTCAATTTCTAAAATCCTTTCTCAAAAACATTGCAAAATTTTCTGAAGCATAACATATACAAGATCTGTTTATTCAAACAATGAAGACACCTTACATCCTTTTTTTATTATTATTATATTATAAAGATTATTTATTTATAAACACTATATACACTAATCTGTTAACATTTCAAAACCGATAAGTGTAGTGAGATTCTAATAAACTGCACACTTTAAGAATTAAAAGCTGCAAACATAACATTTCCCAGATCAGAGGTCATATCTTTTAGCATATTTTGTTTATAATCTTTCTTTTCCAATTTTTGTATGAAATTTGCACTGTCTGCATGATTACACAGTTACATGCCATGATTTTTACCGAAGATAACTAGGTATGAAGGAAAATTGCATCTAAGAAAAATGGCATTGGTGACTATTTCAAGAGAGGTGGAAAACTAGTGTTCATTTATGCTCTTGAAAATGCTGGTCCCTTTCAGAAATGGTCATCTTAGAAGAATGGTCTTCACAACAGGGTGTACCGTATTTTGAATGTGAAGCCCATTTGAAAGCTAATAAGTACAATAATGGTTTACATGCTCTGATAAATTTATAAAAATAAGAAAAACATAAAGTCAAAGTTATCAAAACTGTTATGTTTTTTTTTTAATCTGACAGATGTCATAATAAATAGTTTTTTAAAACAAGAACAATCAGCAAAATGTTTCATAGTTTTCATTATTAATCACTTTCAAATTATATAATATTCCACTCTTTACTTAGGAATAACAGGCATATTTCAAGCTTATGCATACCTTTATATTTGTTTTTTTGTAAGTATAATATTACAAACATGACAGACAGGCAATCGAGACTTTAACCCCTTCACGCCGACTATCACGTATATGTGCCAGCAACGAACACACTTATCTACCGGCCGACACGCAGGCGTGCCAGAGCATTGTTGCGTTTACTACCGACTGTCACGTATTTGTGCCAGTACCTTGGAACATTTTTCAAACTATAATTTCTGCCACAAGATGGCACTGTATGTCCATATGGTTTCAGATACATGTACATTAGACCTTCTACTCGAAATGAGGGAAGCATGACTCACATACACGTGTTTTTTGATTATATAAACAAACGGGAACTAAATGTTTTCCGAATGGCGTGATTTATGACGTCTCCTTAAATCGCACTTTATTTGCACGTAGTAGTTGTTTATTGTAAGTAGAAGTTTTATATGTGCTAAAGCGTTGAGTATTTCGGTTTTACAGTTCAGTTTTTTTAGAAAATAATTAGATCTTGTTAGACGTGAATTCTTTCTGTTTTTTCTGTTTTTACCGTTTCAATGTCGAAGCGTCGAAAATGTTTAACAGAGCATGAAATAGCAGAAATGATGCAAAATATTTCAGATAATGATTCTGAAAGATTAGCTGAAAGACATTTTTCAAAACTTTGTTCAGAAGAGACTGATAAGAAATGCGACGACGATGCTTCGTTTGTTCACATTCCCGGAAAAATCCTCCAAAACGGCAAATGAGTTATTACGAGTTCAAGGAATGTAACGTAGGACTGTGTGTAGATCCCTGTTTTAAAATTTTTCATACGAAAAGAGAACTTTAAGTAATATATTTAGTTTTCAGATGTATAATGTTAAAAGTCATAAAATGGTGAGTAATTAAAATAAAATGTGTAAAATATGCATTTAAACAAGAAATAAGGTAATTAAAGTATATATATAAAAATATCTATAAAGCATAAGCCGTTTAAATACTCTATAGAGCATTATTAAACAATGCTTTGATACTTCGGAAATTTCATGGATTTACGCTTAGTAGCAAAAAAGCCCCGGCCCTGGAGAGACGCTCGCGGAAGACACTGCTGGCCTCTGCGATAAGCGCGCGTTTTCGCTACCCGGCTCGAAGGGGTTAAGACTAGTAGTGATAAGCATACTGTCATTAAAAGGCTTCAGGATGCTTGTGCATTCTCCATAACAATCACTTGCATGAGGACTAGCTTTGCACATTACTTCATCTCCATAATTTAAACTTGGAATTACTGCAACACTATATTTTACTTTAAATTTTTTCACATACCATAAGGCTGCTATCACACATATGTTTTATTTCAGAACACCTGTTTGGAACAATTTAAGCTTAAGGCCATGCACTAGATATCTTACTGCCTGATGCATTCTCTGAGGTTCCTAAATTCTGCTACCAAGCCCCTCCCTTTGTCTTCTCTACATTCTGCCAGCCGGTGCGGCCATATGAACTCTGGCGCTGGTTCTGGGTTTATACGGATAAAAAATCAGTTATTCTTAATTCAAATAGCACTAAATGTAATCTTTCTGCCTATGATCATCATTAACAAAATCAACCTTATGGAAAGCACAAAATCTAAACATATGGAAAGAAATGTTTGTTAAAATTTTCCTGTTAACATTTCTTAGCGCATTTAACTTAAATCTGTAATCATCATCAAGCGTAATGTCAACATAAAAGGTTACCATATTATTTTTCAATTACTAATATGTATAAAAATTGTTTAGACAGCTCCATGAGTCATTACTCAAGAAGTTGTCATGTGATGATAAACATGCGGTGATGAAAGCAAAATATAATAAATAATGATTCGCCAGGTTGGCATCAGGGATGTAAAATTAGTGATGTATCTGTAGAATGTTTTGGTTTGAGATGTATGAGGCAGATGTCGAGCCAAATTATTGATCACACAAATTTATGCTAAAATGATTGTTTCTTCAATAACGAGATATTTTATTCAGTGCTGAAGTGAGGGGGAATCAAATGTGCGTAAAGCACACACACACACACAAAATATAATTTAAAAAAAAGTTGGTAATGGACTTTGAGGTCTGGATTTTAGATCATTCTGAATGTTGGACGTCCGCATTTTGGACTTTGCACTGTATAAAGAAATAAGCATGGCATGAGTAATCATCACACACAGATACACTCACTGCACATGTCAAAAACCTTTTCAATTTTATAATTGCTCTGAGCAAAGCTACATCGAAATAATTTGCTCACTGCAAAAGGTGCACACTATACATTTTATTTCAACAGTTTGTTTCAATGAGTCCAGTATATGTGATACATTCAATTTATAACAAAATTTCTTTATTTGGGCTGGCACATTTCCAGTCATCCATATCAGCAAAAAACTCAGTCCATCACCTTGTTTTCTAATAATCATACTGATTTTTATGAACTACAGTCTGTGCAATTTCATCAAAGATCCTTTACCAAAACCACGGTCAAATGACGAGGAAAGCTTTACAGGAATGTTGGATTATTATCACAGCCACATTTTGAATACACAATACGATTTCAAATTATGCTATTTGAATACGGCAAAGCGCAAGAGTTATATGCCTTTGGAGAACTTTCTGAAAGAAACTGGCTCATATTCACATTAAACAGGGAGAAAACCCACAAAACACACACATGTGGTCTGATCACTCAACTGGGCTCAGAACATAGTTAAACTACCAGTACTCGGCAGTCTCTCTAGCACCTCAGCCATTGGAGGGGTCAGTTCTGAATTAATTTACCATTTATTATTCGCGCACAAAAAATACTGATATATATTATGTACGTGTATACGAGCCACTTTTCCTTAGAAAGGCCTCCACAAAGGCACCCCTTCCCTTAGGCAGATAGCCTTCGAGGCTTCGCCGTAATTAAATAACCTAACCTATACATTATGTTCTGAAAAAGCAGTGCAAATTTTAAGTGTGTTGTACCCGTAATAAAAATACTTAATATCTTAACCCTCTCGCTGTGTATTTTTTTATCAAAATAGGTTCAAAAATTGCGCATTTTTTTTATTACATATTTCAAATCTACATATATTTTAGACTTAAAATATACAAAAATTTTTTGTAAAAGAGTTTTTTTTCAATATAGAATTAGATCATAGAAAAAAGTTGTCAGAATATTGAAATTGAAGAATAATGATAAAAAAGCAAAATTTTGAAAATCAATTTTGGTTAAATTATGATTTATTTTATGAAATACAAAGGTAAAAAGTATATACTAATGAAAATATGCAAAATACTTACAAACATTTTATAAATGAAGTTTTTGTATGATAAATTTCGAAACAAGGCTCGAGGCAAAGTCCGACCTCGCAATCTTTGCACCAAATTCGCGTTTCTTTTCGAATTTTTTTTCCGCTTTCAGTTTTTTTTTTAACAACAGACAGCACACTGTCTACGAGGCTCTTTCTTGATGGGATTTGGGGGTATATGGCTAGCAAAATGTTGAGCAGTTAGCCTCATGGGATTGAGAGTTGAACTACATCTAGAGTGAACACTGGAATTTCTATCTGAATACTTCTGAATGCTTAGTTCAATAATTTGCAAACGGAAATCTAGAAGCGTTTATATTTTGTAATTGGTTTATCCTTTTTATAAAGGATATAAGCATTCCACAGTGATTGGTCCATGAATGTCGGAAAATTTTTATATATTTCCCTTGTTGTTTCTGAGGGTGGGGTAATATGACATTTCTTGGTCACATAAATCAACCCCACCCATCGTGTTGTTGTAATCACAAACAACAATTGGTTTGAGTACAGTTTTCTTTGATTTGCATTTCACCAAACGGGAACTTGCATTATGAACTGTACTTATAAGAAAAACACTTTTTTTATCTTGCCACTTCACAGCTATAACTTTACCCCTTTGGTAAGCAAGGACGTCACCTTTAGGGATTTTTTCTTTTGCAAAATTTGGAGGAAGGTCTTTCCTCATCTTATTTACAGTTCCATATAAGTCTGTTCTTTCTGAAGTTAAAATATCTGCTAACTTTGGAGACATGTAGTAATTGTCCATGCTTACACAGTAACCTTGGCCCAGGAATCTGTCCATCAGGTGCAGAACAATTTTAGTGGAAACTGGATAATTTGAAAATTTCGGGT